CCTATTTCTAAAACTGGAAAAAAAATACCTTCAGGTCGGCAGTAGTTTTTATTAGACCAAACAGTTACTTGTAATTTAATCAAACACATATTGTTAACACATAAATCCTACAAATTTATTGATTTTCCAAGATGTAGTTTGCTAACTAAATAAATGTGACTGCGCGAAGACATAGCTAAAATTAGTTTCCCGGTACATTACGGATTACGACACCTAATGAAGTCCTCAACATCATTACATGATATTTCAATTTTTAATGTAATTTTACCATTTAAGATAGAAAAAACATGATTTATTAGAAAAAATTCAATGTTCCATTACTATCTCAGCGTATATATTTCAAATTTTACAAAAATTCAGAACAGTTGACTTGTAGACAGTACTAGACTCCTGCCATAATAAATAGTGATGTTTTAATTATTTTCTGCTTTAACTTTTCCTAGTATTTACATTATCATATTTTTGCATTGAATTATTTTAACAAAGCTTTTTTATTTTTTCAAAATAATTGTTTTATCTAAAAAAGGGGCCATCATGTCATTTTCAAAATAGTATCTCAAAATTACTAATTAAGGTACCTATGCACCTGCTATATATTATATAACATCATAAACAAATTCAAAATCTAAAACAGATATAAGAAAGATTCAATAATATTTCACCAGGACATCTGTGAAATGTAAAAAGTACTTTTAATAAATACATCCTAACAATGAAGCATCATTGTACTGTATCGTCAATACGTATTGTGTATCGCGGGTCTGTATCGCAATACGTATCGTATCGGAAATTTCTGATCAATACCCAGCCCTAGGCAAAATGTGACTTTAAAGGGACTCAACTGAGGTTTTTTGCCTTGACAGGACTAGATATTATTTTTCAACATTTATGTTCCATTTGATGTAGGTCTAGACCAAAAACAGGTGTAAAAAAAATCATTTCAATCCCTAAGTCTGTTTTCCCAGAATAATAATTCTAATCATGAAATTTAATGAATTTTGAAAAGCATTCAATGCTTTTAACTAAATTAGGCTTAGAATAACACAAAAATATGATTTTCTATATATTTGTGGGTATATTTTTAATACTTGTTTGCAAATCTTTTTCATATTTTAGTTTTGGACCTCAGTTGAGTTTGTTCCTTTAATTAATAGTCTTCAATTAAAATGGTTCATGTACATAGAAAGTTATCAGTTACTTGTTTCACTAGGAGAATGACTTCAGAATTTATTTTTTTCAACATCAGACATGTGGTGTACTCCTTAAATGATCTCTTACAATGAAACATAAATATTAAAAGAACCATTAACAATGTGATATTTAATTGAATATCTTCATTTAATTGATAAACTTGAATGATTTTAAATACTTAAACAGATTTTATTTTATGTGCAAATCAATGTCTTTAAAACACAGTACAAAAGTTTAGTGTATAATATGTAAAATATATGTGATAAAATTGTTATACATTGGTATAGAAAAATATTTAAAGTTAATTTTCTATAACTTTTGTCCTGTCAATTGGTTACCGTGACTTCTGTAAATAGTAATAATATACCGGTAATTCAGTTATTCTGTAAAATTCTTAGCAACAGATAATCTGTTAAAGAAACAAAGGAGGTTTAAATGATGCAGTTTGTTCTTGCATTACTGTACATTTTCTAAAAAGAAAATAGAAGAGAAAATGCATTTGAAATTGTTTTGACTTCAATTATAAGCAAGTCTTGTTTCATGGACATTATTATATATTTAAAGTAGATCTGATATTGTTACAAAGAGACAGTGCTATCTTTCTGCACTTTTATGACATCACTGTGATTTATTTTATATACTTTTGCCTATGTTGCAGAAAAGATACTTTATATATATGCAATAAGGACGTAAGTCAAGTTACTCCCTTATTGCATAAAAAAAAGAAGTCACCTTGAGATAGGCCCTTATAGTATTATCAAAAAGTAGATATAAATAAATAATATACTTTGTTCAAACTTTCAGAGGTCATGAGTAAGACTAAAATAATGTCAAAAATGATATAAAACCATTTTTGGAAAAAAATGTAGTTACTCCCTTATTGCGTTAAGCCCTCGATTTTTGCTCATACAGCCTTATATTTTTTACTTGATGTCTTAGTTTAATACAAACATGCCAAGGGAGGTCCTCCTTCTTTGGGTGTAGTAAGGGGTCATTTGGGTCAAGGTCAATGTTACCAATGTCAAGGTCACCAATGTTAAAAATAGATTTTTACATTTTACAGGTGTATTGACCTTATCCTATAGACAGATGTTATTTATAATTGATAGAAACATAAACTTTGATGGAGTTAGTGGTCAGTTGGGTCAAGGTAACCAGTGCTAAAAATAGATTGTTACACATTTGCTCATACAGCCTTTATTAAGTGACAGATATATTTTATATTTGGTAGGAAGATAACTTGCATGGTATTCATCCTTTTGATTGGGGTAGGGATCAGTGGGTCAAGGTCACTTGTGCTAAAAATAGATTTTTACACTTTTGCCCATACAGCTTTTATTTATTGACAGATGTATTTCATATTTGGTAGGAAGATAACTTGCATGGTATTCTTCCTTTGGATGGAGTAAGGGGTCAGTCGGGTGAAGGTCACCAGTGCTTAAAATAAATTTTTACACTCTTTATTTATTGACAGATGTATTTCATATTTGGTAGGAAGATAATTTACATGGTATTCTTCTTTTGGATAGAGTTAGGGGTCAGTTTGTTCAAGGTCACCAGCGCTCAAAATAGATTTTTACACTTTTGCCCATACAGCCTTTATTTAATGACAGATGTATTTCATATTTGGTAGGAAGATAATTTGCATGAAGTTGAATATTTTTCAACTTCACAAGTCAGAGCAATGACTTGGCAACTTATATTTTTCACAATTTCAAAATGCCATGACTTTTGTCAAGCTATATAACTTGTGTTTACAATTTTTTGGCAATTTTTCGTCCATAACTGAGTGAATGGGTAAACATTTTTTGAAATATTGCTACTGACAATTATCTGAGCCGGGGGCATTTGTGTTTAACAAACACGTTCTTGTTTACAAACAGATTTATCCATATAAATTACATTTTTAAACCATATGTAACTTTTAGATACTTATGTAATGGTGTAGTTTATAATTTTAACCAATTATACATGTAATAATACTGTCTTGTTTTTTATAAATGATATTTGGTATGTTTGATATCAATAAAAATATAATTGAACCCTAAGTATGCTACTATCCTGCTTTTCAACATAATATTGGTATGATATGTTCATATATCGGAATTATGTAGAGACTGTCCACAGTGACTCCCTCTCTATAATGACCTTTTTAGTTCACCTGTCACAAAGTGACAGGGTGAGCTTTTGTGATCGATTTTCGTCCGGCGTCTGTCCGGCCGTAAACTTTTACTTTAAATGACATCTCCTCATAAACCACTAAGCCAATTTCATCCAAACTTCACAGGAATGTTCTTTGGTGGTCACCTTTAAAAATTGTTCAAAGAATTTAATTCCATGCAGAACTCTGGTTGCCATGGCAACCAAAAGAAAAAACTTTAAATATCTTTTTCTAAAAAACCCAAAGAGCTAGAGCTTAGATATTTGGCATGAAACATCTTCTAGTGAGTGTCTACCAAGTTTGTTCAAATAAAAGCCCTGGGGTCAAAATTGGTCCCGCCCCAGGGGGTCATTGATTTTCCCTATATGTATATAGTAAAAACTTAAAAAATCTTCTTTTAAAGAACCCAAAGAGCTAGAGCTAAGATATTTAGCATGAAACATCTTCTAATGGGTGTCTACCAAGTTTGTTCAAATAACAGCCCTGGGGTCAAAATTGGCCCCGCCCCAGGGGGTCATTGATTTTCCCAATATGCATATAGTAAAAACTTAAAAATCTTCTTTTAAAGAACCCAAAGAGCTAGAGCTAAGATATTTAGCATGAAACATGTTCTAATGGATGTCTACCAAGTTTGTTCAAATAAGAGCCCTTGGGTCAAAATTAGCCCCGCCCCAGGGGGCCATTGATTTTCCCTATATGAATAAAGTAAAAACTTAAAAATCTTCTTTTAAAGAACCCAAAGAGCTAGAGCTAATATATTTAGCATGAAACATGTTCTAATGGATGTCTACCAAGTTTGTTGAAATAAAAGCCCTTGGGTCAAAATTGGCCCAGCCCCAGGGGACATTGATTTTCCTTATATGTGTATTAGCAAAAACTTACAAATCGTCTTCGAAAAAACCAGAATAGCTAGAGTTTAGATATTAAGCATGAAACATCTTCTAGTAAGTGTCTACAAAGATTGTTCAAATAAAAGCCCTGGATTCAAAACTGGCCCTGCCCCAGGGGTGTTATTGTTTTTAAATATAATTATGTGTAAAGAAAAAACTTAAAAAATCTTCTTTTAAAAAACTCAACGAGCTAGACCTTAGATGTTTAGCATGAAACAACTTCTAATGGGTGTCTACCAAGTTTGTTCAAATAAAAGCCCTGGGGTTTAAACTGGCCCCGCTCCGTGGGGCCTATATACAGGTGAGCGACTTCAGGGCCATCATGGCCCTCTTGTTATATTCAGGTGAGTGATTTCAGGGCCATCATGGCTGTCTTTCCATGAAATCCAATGTACCATGTAATTTAGGCACCATTTTCTCAGCAATTGAAACTGCAAAAGTTTGAAACTTTTATGGATAAATGTACATACAAAAACAAATTTTTAAAGCATTGCAATTAGTTCTAGGTTGACCCACATATTAGGGTTGTGATTGAGTAAATCTCTTTTGAAAAAAAATGACTGATAAGAAATTATGAGCAAGGGGCATTTGTGTTTAAAGGCAATCTTGTTCTTTCTGAACTCTGTTCACTACAAAGTTCTTTTGTGTTTGCCTTTGGAAATAAAAAAGAGTTTAAGCATGGTCCCTGCTTGACAGTGGTTCTTGCTATTGAACTTTAACAATGCTTACATTACACCAGTACATTGCTCCATGGATTGCGAGTTTATATGAACATGCATTCAAATATTGCTTATATATTTTCAGGTATCAATTACACAAGTACTGAGGAACAAAGCACAGGAGAAGAACATTTACAGAAATGCCTGGAAAAAATGGAGGATTTCAAGTTATCCTTGAAAGGGACTGGCATATACCTTGAAGCCCTTAACAATATGGGAATATTATTTACTGGATGGAGAAGGCCAGAGGAAGCTTTAGAATATTTCAAGCAAGCAGAATTACTGTACATTGACTTTAAGAACGTTATTGGAGGTGCCCCGTATATGGTTGATGAATTTCTGTCTCCCCCTACTGATGACAAAAATAAGTTAGAATTTGAGAGAGCTAAAACATTGGAGAGTACATATACACATACACTATTTTATTTTGCTCAGGTTTATCAGCTGCTTGGTAAGGCAGATGTATCTGCACAATATTGTCATTTCACTTTGCAGAGACAGCTTGACTCATCAGATCTTGACTCGTTAGACTGGAGTCTTCAAGCGGCAACTTTATCTCAGTATTATATGACAGAGAGAGAGTTTACAATGTCTCGTCATTGTCTTGCCAGTGCTGAAGTCATTTTTGCGCAAGCTGAATCAAATGATTTAAATTGTCCTGATGAGATAAAAGAAAAAGTTAATCAAGCAAGAGCAGATATTGATCGCTGCTGGATCAAATATGGACTTGGTTTGCTAGAATATTCAAAAGAAAAACAATTAGAGACATTAACTTGTCAGTCAGGAGGCAATGAAGGGGAAATAACTATAAGACATGGATCAGCAGCAAGTGAAACTCAAAGCAATACAAGTACATCAACCAGTAGAAAGGCTATTAGTAATGCAAACACTTCACAAAATGAAAGATCAGACAGTTGTACTAGCATTCTATCAAATGTTGGAAATGTCTCTAAAAGCTGTGAAAATCATCAAATGAAAGAAAATACCAATATTGATAAGGTCAAAGAAAAGGACACTGAAACTAGTCAGCCACAAGAGCAAAATAACACGGGGTCCTCAGATGAAGAAAGTGCTGAGGTTGATATAAATGACACAGAGAGTGAACATGTAGATGAGAGTGATCAAAGCCAGCTAGTGCCAAATGAACACAAAACTGAAAGAAGTATACTGGATTTGGAAAAAAATAGAATAGAAAGGAAAAAGCAGGTACATGAAAGATTTAACCTGGAAACTACATCATATGAGGAAAAGATAAGTGATAAACATGCAATGAATTTTGAGCAAGCAAGACTTATCTTTCTTTTCATTAAAGACATGATTGGAAAAGCAAAAGAATTTTATAAGCTAGAGTATCACTGTCCAGACTATGTTGGCATTGTACAAGATCATAGCATGTCTTTCAAACTACTGTCCTATTTTGAAATAGATCTAGAAAGACAGTGCAAGATGCACAAGAGGCGAATAGATATGTTGACAGAAGTCCTGAAAGAGCTAAGTCTACAGCACTATCTGTTAGTGTGTCGACAGCTGATGTTTGAGATTGCAGACACTTACAGTGCCATGTATGATCTAAAACTGGCTATACTAGAAGTATCTGGAGAAGAGGTGCAACCAACTCCCCATCATGTGAGAAAGTTAAATGCTCTTGTAAGTGACAGTATTAAATACTACCAAGAATACCTGAACACTCTTAAAGGGGGTAAACCGATGTATCCAGATGAGTTTCCTGTAAATGATGTTAGGCCAGGATTGGTAGCAATGTTTTGTATGGGGAGATTGTTTTCTAAGTTTTTGACAGGAGATGTGCAAACTCGCCTTTTGAACATTAAGAAAACCAAGGATTGTTACCAGTTTCTTGTTGACTATTGCGAAAGAAATCCATCAGCAGTACAACTTGTTGAAAGCGAGCTTGAGATATGTAAAGAAATGGTCCAACTTCTTCCAGCTAAAATGGAAAGAATTCGTTTACAGTCAGAGATATAAAGCATAATTGGTGTTGAATGCATAATGTTCATGAAACAAAATTTGGTTTACAATATATTTCTTAGATTGCTGTCCAATTATTTTGCAATTTCTCTGTTACCGTTAATTAATAATTGCGTGTATACAGTGACATCTATAAATTAGGGCTGCAATGATTACCAAATGTTCGATTCAATTGAATATCAATTTCAGGCTCCCCAATTTGATTATTATCCATTCAATTCATGCTTGCTTACTATTTTGTCTTTATTGGACAATTCTGTTGATTTGCTTAAAAATGAGTCATGAAATTAAGGCCATATGAAATATGACCTTGACAACCTAATTCATTAGACTCAACTGTATTATGGCAAAGTTCAATTGTATAGAAACAAAAAAAAAAGTCATATGTCTCTACACTACTATTTAGTGTTGTATTATATAATGCAGTGGCATAGCATTTTTATGCCCCCGCCATGTAATGGCCGGGGCATATAGTGTTACCCTATTCCGTCAGTCCGTTCTTCCATCCTTCCGTCCTTCTGTCATTCTGTCATCATCAGTTTCCGTTCATTATCTTAAGAACGGTTGCACACATTTAACTCAAATTTGACATATGGATATGTCATGAGAAAATACAGGTCAAGTTCGAATTTGGTCATGGTTCGATGATTTTTGGCAGAGTTATGCCCCTTTTATTTTGAAAATAATATGAAATTTTCAGTTTCCGTTCATTATCTCCCAAACGGTACGACACATTCAACTCAAACTTGACATATGCATATGTCATGAGAAAATACAGGTCAAGTTCGAATTTGGTCATGGTTCGATGATTTTTGGCAGAGTTATGCCCCTTTTACTTTTAAAATAATATGAAATTTTCAGTTTCCGTTCATTATCTCCCCAATGGTACAACAACATTCAACTCAAACTTGACATATGGATATGTTATATAAAAATATAGGTCAAGTTCAAATTTGGTCATGGATCGATGATTTTTGGCAGAGTTATGCCCTTTTTACTTTGAAAATTATATGAAATTTTCAGTTTCCGTTCATTATCTCCCCAAAGGTACGACACATTCAACTCAAACTTGACATATGGATATGTCATGAGAAAATACAGGTCAAGTTCGAATTTGGTCATGGTTCGATGATTTTTGGCAGAGTTATGCCCCTTTTACTTTTAAAATAATATGAAATTTTCAGTTTCCGTTCATTATCTCCCCAATGGTACAACACATTCAACTCAAACTTGACATATGGATATGTTATATAAAAATATAGGTCAAGTTCAAATTTGGTCATGGATCGATGATTTTTGGCAGAGTTATGCCCCTTTTACTTTGAAAATTATATGAAATTTTCAGTTTCCGTTCATTATCTCCCCAAAGGTACAACACATTCAACTCAAACTTGACATATGGATATGTCATGAAAAAATACAGGTCAAGTTTGAATTTGGTCATGGTTCGATGATTTTTGGCAGAGTTATGCCCCTTTTACTTTGAAAACAATATGAAATTTTCAGTTTCTGTTCATTATCTCCCCAAAGGTACAACACATTCAACTCAAACTTGACATATGGATGCGTCAAAGGAATGCGCAGGTCAAGTTCAAATTTGGTCATGGTTTAATGATTTTTGGCAGAGTTATGCCCCTTTCACTTTGAAAGTAATATGAAATTTTCAGTTTCCATTTATTATCTCCCCAATGGTACAACACATTTAACTCAAATTTGACATATGGATATGTTTTTGGAATGCCCAGGCCAAGTTAGAATTTGGTCATGGTTCAATGATTTTTGGCAGAGGAATGCCCCTTTCACTTTGAAAATAATATGAAATTTACAGTTTCTGTTCATTATCTACCCAACAGTGTTACATATTCAACTTAAATTTGACATATGGATATGTCAAAGGAATGGGCAGGTCAAGTTGGAATTTGGTCATGGTTTGACGATTTTTTGGCAGAGTTATGTCCCTTTCACTTTGAAAATAATATAGTTACATCTTAGGAATAAGCAGTTTAGGTTTGAATTTGGTCGTGGTTCAATGATTTTAGACAAACTTATCTTTCCTGAATGTTGGAAAAATTTTGAACTTTCAGTTTCAGCACTCATACTTTTAGCCATAATTTTGGCTACAAATATGCAATATGCTATTTTTAAAAGGTTAAGACTGAATAATTTCAGTGCCTTGAACATTGTATGAAAATGGTTTGTGTTAACATTTAAAAGTTTTAAGGGCTTTGAACTTAAAATGAAAAAAATAATTAATGCACCATCTGAAATTTTGGCTGCATGCGGGGGCATCCGTGGCATGATGACACATTTCTAGTTCACAAATGCATAACCATTATCTCAACTTATTTGACTTTTTAAAAAGTGGTCTATTTGAAAAACAATTTTAATCAAAGATATGACAGTTATATGATAAGTACATTTACAGGTCTGACTTTTTAGCTTGACTATACAAAGTATATGGAGAGCTGTCCTACTTGCGTCCGCGTCCAGATTTCAGATTAAAGTTTTGGTGCAGTAAAATATTTTTCACTATAACTTTGTCATTTCATAAGGTATCAACTTCAAACTTCAAATATATGTTCCTTATCATCAACCACATCTTATGTGACAAGGTTCATAACTCTAGCATCAATATTTTAAGATTTATCTCCCCTTGAACTAAGAATTTTCCTAAGAAAATATTATTTTTAGCTCACCTGTTTCTTTGTGACAGGGTGAGCTTTTGTGATCGCTTTTCGTCCGTCGTCCATCCGTCCGTTGTCCGTAAACTTTTACTTTAAATGACATCTCTTTATAAACCACTAAGCCAATTTCATCCAAACTTCACAGGATTGTTCCTTTGGTGGTCACCTTTGAAAATTGTTCAGAGAATTTAATTCCATGCAGAACTCAACCAAAAGAAAAAACTTTAAATTTCTTCTTCTAAAAAACCCAAAGAGCTAGAGCTTAGATATTTGGCATGAAACATCTTCTAGTGAGTGTCTACCAAGTTTGTTCAAATAAAAGCCCTGGGGTCAAAATTGGCCCCGCCCCAGGGGGTCATTGATTTTCCCTATATGTATATAATTAAAACTTAAAAAATCTTCTTTTAAAGAACCCAAAGAGCTAGAGCTAAGATATTTAGCATGAAACATCTTCTAATGGGTGTCTACCAAGTTTGTTCAAATAAAAGCCATGGGGTCAAAATTGGCCCAGCCCCGGGGTCATTGATTTTCCTTATATGTGTATAGCAAAAACTTAAAAAATCTTCTTTGAAAAAACCCAAATAGGTGAAACATCTTCTAGTGAGTGTCTACAAAGTTTGTTCAAATAAAAGCCCTGGGGTCAAAATTGGCCCCGCCTTGGGGGTCATTGATTTTCCTTATATGTGTATAGCAAAAACTTAAAATCTTCTTTGAAAAAACCCAAATAGCTAGAGTTTAGATATTAAGCATGAAACATCTTCTAGTGAGTGTCTACAAAGTTTGTTCAAATAAAAGCCCTGGGGTCAAAATTGGCCCCGTCCCGGGGGGCATTGATTTTTCCTATATGCATATAGTAAAAACTTAAAAATCTTTTAAAGAACCCAAAGAGCTAGAGCTAAGATATTTAGCATGAAACATGTTCTAATGGATGTCTACCAAGTTTGTTCAAATAAGAGCCCTTGGGTAAAAATTGGCCCCGCCCCAGGCAGGTCATTGATTTTCCCTATATGAATACAGCAAAAAACTTAAAAATCTTCTTTTAAAGAACCCAAATAGCTAGAGCTAAGATATTTAGGATGAAACATAATCTAATGGATGTCTACCAAGTTTGTTCAAATAAGAGGCCTTGGGTCAAAATTGGCCCAGCCCCAGGGGACATTGATTTTCCTTATATGTGTATAGCAAAAACTTAAAAATCTTCTTCGAAAAAACCCAAATAGCTAGAGTTTAGATATTAAGCATGAAACATCTTCTAGTAAGTGTCTACAAAGATTGTTCAAATAAAAGCCCTGGGGTCAAAACTGGCCCTGCCCCAGGGGTGTAATTGTTTTTAAATATATGTGTAAAGAAAAAACTTCAAAAATCTTCTTTTAAAAAACCCAACGAGCTAGACCTTAGATGTTTAGCATGAAACATCTAATGGGTGTCTACCAAGTTTGTTCAAATAAAAGCCCTGGAGTTTGAACTGGCCCCTTCAGGGCGACTTCAGGGTTATCATGGCCCTCTTGTTTTACTGTTACTAATTTATTAGTCCCCTACCGGTTTACCGGAGGGGACTTTAGGTTTACCCTCCGTCCGTCTGTCTGTCAGTCCGTCCGTCCACAAAACTGGATCCCGCGATAACTTGAAAAGTACTGAAAATATTTTTATGAAACTTGATATATGGGTAGATGGCAGTATGGAGATTATGCACGTCTTTTTCTTTTCTTCCTATGTTAAAAATTCTGGTTGCTATGGCAACAAATAGAGTGAAAATATGGTAAATTTTATACATAAACTGGATCCAGTGTTAACGCAAAAAGTAATAGAAATATTTTTATGAAACTTGTAATATGGGTAGATGGCAGTCTGGAGATTATGCACGTCTTTTTCTTTTCTTCCTATATTGAAAATTCTGGTTGCTATGGCAACACATAGACTGAAAATATGGCAAATTTTACACATAAACTGAATCCAGTGATAACTCAAAAAGTACTGGAAATATTTTTATGAAACTTGACATATGGGTAGATGGCAGTCTGGAGATTATGCATGTCTTATCTTTTCTTCCTATTTTGAAAAAATATTGGTTGCCTTGGCAACAAATAGGCTTAAAACATGGCAAATATAACAATATTTGTGATTAGTCAAAAAGAGCTGAAAATTTTTATGAAATTGCATCTTTAATTCAAGAGTTATCTCCTCTTTAAGAATTTTGCTTTTAAAAATATTAATTTTTGGTAACAGGGATGTTTCAAATATTAACTTTAGAGTGTCCTTCAGTCCGTCTGTTCATAAAAACTGTTTCCTGTGATCACTTTTAAAGAACTTTTCCAACAAATTTACTTAAAATAGAGAAAAATTGAAACATTAGTGAATGGCAAATGGCCCTTCAGAATGTTGATGGGGTTCTAACCGGTAGGGGACTTATGGATTGCTTGCAATACTATGATAATTGCTTGTTTCTTAAGGGATCAACTTCATACTTCAAATATATGTACCTTATGATCATCCACATCTTATGTGACAAGGTTCATAACTCTAGCACAAATATTTTCAGATTTATCTCCCCTTGAACTTAAAATTTTCTTTAAAAAATATTATTTTTTACTGTTACTTATTTATTTCTTAAGGGAACAACTTCATACTTCAAATATATGTACCTTATTATTAACCACGTTATGTGACAAGGTTCATAACTCTAGCACCAATATTGCAAGAATGATCTCCCCATAAACTTAGATTTTTAAGCCCCCACAAAGTGGGGAGCATATAGCGTCGCATTTGTCCGTCTGTCTGTACGTCCTGAAATCTTGTGAAAGCAACTTCTCTTAAACAGGATGGCAGATTTTGCTTAAACTTCCAGAGATGAACAACCTTAATGTGTAGATGGCAGAAAAGGAAGGAATTTTCGCTGCGACCAAATTTAACAGAATTATGGCCCTTTGTTGATTTTTTCACTATATACTATGTAGAAATTTTTTGAACGCAACTACTCTTTAAACAGGATGGCAGATTTTGCTTAAACTTCCAGGGATGTACAATCTTAATGTGTAGATGGTAGTAAAGGAAGGGATTTTTGCTGCGACCAAATTTAACAGAATTATGGCCCTTTGTTGATTTTTTCACTTAATAATATACCATATAGAAATTTTGTGAACGCAACACCTCTTAAACCGGATGGCAGATTTTGCTTAAACTTGCAGGGATGAACAACCTTAATGTGTAGATGGAAGTAAAGGAAGGAATTTTTGCTGCGACCAAATTTAACAGAATTATGGCCCTTTGTTGATTTTTTCACTATATACCATATATATTTTGTCATTGGGGGCATCTGTGTCCTTTGGACAAAGTTCTAGTTTACTTGAAAAATGTTATTTCCTACTATAACTTTTTAATTTTAAAGGTATCTACCTCAAACTTCAAATACTAGTACTTATTCCTTATCATTAATAACATTTTATGTGACAAGGCTCATAACTCTTGAAGCAATATTTACAGATTTATCTCTCTTTGAACTTAGGATTTTCTTTAAGAAATATTATAACTTCTTTACTTTTTAAGGTATCTACTTCAAACTTCAAATATATATTTCTTATCAATACACACATGTTGTGTGACAAGGTTCATAACTCTAGCGTGAATATTTCTAGAATTATTCCCCTTGATCTTGGAAGTTTTGTTAACAATGTTATTGTTTTACTATAACTTAACACATAATTAAACATAATTGATTTTTCTTTCATAGTTTTGTCTTCCTTACTGCGTCCAGTATTTTATTAGTCATGCCTCGCTGTCTCCTGTGACAGCTCTTGCTTAGCTCACTTGTCACAAAGTGACATGGTGAGCTTTTGTGATGGCATTTCGTCCGGGGTCCGTCCGTAAACTTTTACTTTAAACAACATCTCCTCATAAACCACTAAGCCAATTTCATCCAAACTTCACAGGAATGTTCCTTTGGTAGTCAACTTTAAAAATTGTTAAAGAATTTAATTACAAGCAGAACTCAGGTTGCCATGGCAACTGAAAGAAAAAACTTAAAATATCTTATTTTAGAAAACCGGAAGTGCTAGAGTTTGGCATGAAACATCATCTAGTCAGTGTCTACCAAGTTTGCTCAAATAAATGCCCTTGGGTCAAAATTGGCCCTGCCCGGGGGCCTATATACAGGTGAGCGATTTCAGGGCCATCATGGCCCTCTTGTTCTAACTCTAACTAGGCTTTTCAAACACATTCACATCAGTGGTTTATGCCCCGGCCATAGAATGTCAGGGGCATATAGTGTTACCCTGTTCCGTCATTCCGTCCTTGTTTCTATTCATTACCTTGGTAATGGTTGCAAACATTCAACTCAATTTTGACATAATGGATATATAAAAAAAAATACAGGTCAAGTTTGAATTTTCAAAGGAATACGCTGGTCATGTTAGAATTGGGTCATGGTCCAATGATTTTTGAGTTATGCCCCTTGATGAAATTTTCAGTTTCCGTTCATAATCATTCAACTCAAATTTGGGATATGGATGATAAAGGAATGCCCAGGTCAAATTAGAATTTGGTCATTGTTCGATGATTTTGGCATAGTAATGCCCCTTTAACTTTGAAAAATCAAAGCACTGAAAGCACTGAGGTATACATTGCTTGATAATATAATCCATTTTTGTCATTTTTACTTTGCTGAATGCGCTCTTAGCATTATTCTTTAATATGTATATCGTTTTTCCTGTCGACCGGAGTGTTCACTCTACAGTACTATACATTTTGTAGTCTTATATTTCCCTATATAACCATCGTACATCCATTGTTCTTACACTTATAACATAAGTTATCTATAGGTTTCCCACTTTTCTTTAAAAAAAGGAAATCTACCAGTATGTACATGTAGTAAAATTAAATAGTTGGAACTACAGCCAAATTGATACCAAGGTCAGACATGATTTGAAAAACTAATAATTGTTCACAAAACATTAGTGACATTGTAGCTAAACAATTTACACAACAATGGTTACATTATTTCCCTTAAGTATGTGAAATTCTTTGACAAGGAATTACATTGTTGTAACTAAAAAGGGATATCATTCAGTCAAATCCATACTAGAGTGATCATGGATCTTTTGCATAATTACATCTCAATCAAAAACTGTTTCAAGCAGGGTCTTTGAAAGACCCTGTTTCAAGTGAATAATTCAGTAGTTCTGTAGACTTTTTTGCGTGCAAAACATAATTATTTCAAACAGGAATTTATTATACAAATTGAATTGATTTGAGTCAGTCATGTTATACAAAAGTGTATATGTATCTAGGTTTTGAATATTGAACCATTATAATGATAAAGGACATGTATGAAGTTCAAAACTAATCTGCAGTAGTTCGTCCAAAACAGAATTAACAAAACGAAATTGGAAACTATAAACAGATCAATACATTAATTAATATAAACAGATTAAAATAATTCATTTTCCTACTTTCTGAACATAAATTTAATGTATTTATTTCTTAATGCTTACACTGATATACAGTTAGTTTCAAATGATTATTTCTTATCGTCGACTCTGGCCACAGATACCTATATTTAGCATACCTATATTAAGCTCCATGCTCTGGCTTAATCGTCAATATTCTAAGTTTGACGAATTGTTATGGGTCAAATGGTCGAGTGGCCGAATCTTTATTTTTACTCGTTACTGAATCAGGCAATAAACGCGGAATTTCGAAACATATTTCTTTTAAAAAATCTAAGGCATACAAAAGTGAAAGAAAATCATGTGCAAAAAGGTATCCAAAAGAAATTAGCTTACGAAATTTATAATTTTCGAAGCCACGATAATTGCTAGATTTTAAAAAAAAAAACATTTTCCAAATTTTGTTATGGAGCTCCATACTCATTTTGTAAAACATTTTAGATCAATTTAATTGCATAAATGTAAATCAGGAATTTTATTTGATTAACCCTTTCCCCCATGAGCATATTGTGAAAAATGGCCGTTTTCACTGAAAAGCCTCCTGTTACAAGATCAAACTGCTATGAAACTATGAAAAATGCTTCAATACTACAGTAAACTTCACTTATAGCGAACACGGTTATAGCGAACTTCCGGTTATAAGGAACAATTTATTTTGGCCCGAATTTTGCCCTTCTTTATTTAATATAAAAATATACGGTTATAGCGAACACGGTTATAAGGAATTATCGCTTATAAGGAACTCATTTCTTAGTCCCAATTTAGTTAAAAGTGCATAAAATTACACTTTTATAACGAACTCCAAATATCGGCTATTCGTAAATATATCCCGCATTTTCAACTGGCACGGAATAAAACTCGCGGAATGTACCGTTTATTGTTGTATGTAATTCAATATATGAAAATGATTTTGTATAGAAGTATGTAATAGTTTTCAATTTAGGGCATGTTTAGCTTGAGTTCTTGTCACAAAGATAAAACGGTAATTCCTTTTATTCTATAATTTCTTTTCTTTAATAGTTTTGCTCGAGTAAAATAATTATCGGTTTTCAACATAATCACGCATGCTTGCAAACATAATCCATAGAAAACTACAAAGTATGCTTGATTGAAATGAAAAGAAATCTTTATATTTAATAAGTTAAAGTCACCCTTAAAATATAATAGAAGATATTCAATATAAAAGGAAGAAAAATGGAAAATCTTGTTTATTCTTATTCATTGAAAGAAAACGAAAAACACTGAGTTAAGAAACAAAATATGATGTTTTATGAAAAATTGAGAAAGAGAGTAAAACTAAAACTGAAATAGCTAAGGATTTTTCAAATTCCAAAATGTACGCTCTCGGGTATTGCGTCTAAAAAAGAATAAATGACTAATTATTCTTAATCAAATGCTCTTAAAAATGGCGGCCGATGTTTAACAATTAGTTCGTTATATGTGAATCTGTTCGCTATAAAAACTCCTAATACAAGGAACTAATTCGCTATATCCTTACAAGGAACTCCGGATATAAGGAACATATTTTGAATGTCCCAATGAGTTCGTTATAAGCGGAGTTTACTGTAATCAAACTTGGCACAAATGTTGACTGGACCATTGCCTTTGTAACGACATGCTCAGTCTCAAATTTCCTGTTACCATGGCAACCAGGGGACATCTCAAAATTGCCAAAAATCACTATTTTGCCTCGATTTTTTCCATCAAAATTTATTTCAAAGGGCTGCAACTTCTCAAGGGATTGAGATAGAGTCAAAGGCTTTTCAGCGTTGGTTAAACATTACATTATGATCGACCTGGGGTCATTTTTAGCCTCTCACAAGTCCAAAATTTTCTTGGCGATGAAGGGGACTCAGCCCCCCTTCAAACCCCCCTAACAGAAGGGGGCACATCCCCCTTCTGGCAACCCCCTGATGTATCTTTTGGATGGGGGGCGGCTCCGAAAAAGTGCTCAATTTTTTTAGCAACATTTCTCAAACGAAAACTTATGTTTGGGGCCCAAATAGGACATTTTTTCACTATTTGAGGCCCAAAAAAAGGGGGGGGGGGTCGAAAGTGCGTTGTTTCGCGTATATATGTGGTAAAGGGTTAAATATCTATCTTAGATGTTTCGTCCCATTAATATGATTCTGACGACTTTACTTTTTAGTTTCCGTTCATTATCTCCGCAATTGTTGTGCACATTCAACTCAAATTTGACATATAGATACATGTTAGGGATAAGCAGGTCAAGTTTGAATTTGGTTGTGGTTTAATGATTTTGGACAAAGTTATCTCTCTTGAATGTTAGAAAAATTTAGAATTTTCAGTTTCAGCACTCATACTTTTGGAAATGTATGTAGTCATTATTTTGGCTACAGATATGCAATATGCAATTTACAAAATGTTAACACTGAATAGTTTCAGTGCCTTGAACTTTGTATAAAAATGGTAATGAATAGTTTTAAGGGCTTTGAACTTAATATGAAAAAATAGTTTGTGCAGACAAATTTGGATCTGAAATTTTGCTGCATGCGGAGGCATCCGTGGCGTGACGACCAATTCTAGTCTTTTCATGTGTTGCATCAAGTTAGTTGTAATTACCAACTCCAGCAAAACATTACATATTGCTTTGTTTAATTCCTTCCTCATGAAAACCAAGGTATTCCTATGCTTTTTATGCTCCCCGAAAAATTTCGGGGGAGCATATAGTCGTCGGGTTGTCCGACAGTCCGTCCGTACGTACGTCCCGAATTCGTGTCCGGCCCATAACTTTGTTATTTGAAGTCGGATTTTAAAACTATTTCACAGAAATGATCACCATATTGAGACGACGTGTCGCGCGCAACATTTGGCTCGCTACCTTGAAGGTCAAGGTCACAGCATGACCTTGCAGCAAAATCGTGTCCAATCAATTACTTCATTATTTGACACGATTTGCCACAATTGTTCACAATAATCAGATGATGTGTTATGCGCAACAACATTCACCTACCGTCAAGGTCACACTTGGAGGTCAAAGATAAACATAGTCTGTTATAGGGTATATTTTGTATCCGGTCCATAACTTTTTCATAGATAAAAGGATTTTGTAAATACTTGCCACAAATAGTCACTATAATAAGACAATGTGTCATGCGCAACACCTGCATCCCTACCTCCAAGTTCAAGGTCACACTTAGAGGTAAAAAATAAACATAGTCTGTTTTAGGTTATATTGTGTGTCAAATCTAGAACTTCTTTGGGATTTTGAAATAACTAGGCACAAATAGTCACAATAATAAGACAATATGTCAAGT